TATATATATATATATATATATATATATGTCAAATGAACGAAAATACGTATACAAATTTGTATACGTAAAAATATATATGTAAAAATAGGAAAAAATGTACATGAAATATTTCATGTAATGATTTATACCATCATAGTGGTCCAACAAAACTTTTCCAACTTCATGCAAAATTGTTAATCTTTGAGATATGCGTGGTATGATAACATCGTCATCACCCTGGAAAATGTGCATCATGTCGACTATAGATAGCGTTGTATAAAATTTAGGATCCCATATTGGTTTTCCATTCTAATACAAAAAGATTAATTACATATTAAATCTAATTAAAAATAAAAAATTACAGGAGTGTTTAGATAGATTAAAAAAATCAATATAATATAAGTTATATATTTAACAAGACTATGGAGATAAGGTTTATCACAGACTATCGTTTATATTGTATTGTAAATATCTGTTATATTAATTTACGATTTTCAATAAAATTAAAATGAAACGATTTATGGAATAAGATTCATACGATTGTTACATTTTGACTTTACATCTATTTTGCATGCTTGCATAAAAATACACATATACACACAAATAAATATATATAAAAATTATTAATTTATTAAAAAATTTAATTATTAATCATATTGGGTGTACAAATAAGGTCGCATCGTTTTCTAATAAATACCGTTACCAGTACTGCGTGCATGTAATTTAAGATGATAACATATCTAAGTATTAGATATCTAAGTAAACTTTAAGATTTAGTATAGAACATTAGAGTAATGTAATGTAAACAACAAATTTTCTCATTAAAAATGTAAAATTTTGTTGCATTATTTTATTTTAAAGAAAACTGCTACTAAAAGTCACCGTTTGCTGCTACAACTATATACTTTATAGATACTACAATATCTAAAAATAGTATAGAAATAATAATACTAAACATATTATATTTTTTTAATGGTTTATTTTATCAAACAAATGAAGGAAAAGACGATAAAATTTATATGCGCGTACTCATTAAAATATC